TCCGGCGCAGAGACGTTTGCGGTCTACTGGGGCCTCTTGGGAGGCCTCTCGGAGGTGTTTGCGGGACCTCGTGGGGCGTATTGGTGCCTCTTGGGGGCCTCTCAGGGCCTCTTGGAGGCCTGCTGGCGGGCTTGGAGGTGATGTTGGGGCGTAGGGCTCGACATGTAGTTCCCCGTCTTGAGCCCCTCTCTGGGGGCCGTCTTGGCGGCCTCTTAGGCCGTCTTGGCGCCCACTTCGGCCGCCTTGGGGCGCTCTCGGGGGGCCTCTTGGGCCGTCTCGAAGCTTTGGAGGCCCGAGGCGGGAGCGCCAAACTTATCTCAAATCTAAGGGCAGTAAACTATTTTTTGCCTCTTTGGGGTCTCTTGGGGGTCCTCTTTCGGCCCTCTTGGGGCGTCCTGAGTCTTGACTGTGTATTGAGACCCTCTTGCAAACGGCCCCTATCCTCCCAGCATGCCACGCACCATCTGCCGACCGCCCGCGCGACGTTCGCGCCAACCTCCTGTTTGACCACAAGGCGGCCCAAGACCGCCACAAAACGGCCAAGATGGCCCCACGACGAGCCCAGGATGGCACACAGCAGTGCCTCAAGGAAATCCAAGAGGGCTCGAAGATGGCCCAACGAGAGCCCAAGAGGACCTCGAGAGGCCTCCGAGACGGCCGCAGACGTCAATAGAGGACGGCAGGGGGGCCCGGCTGACAGTTCAAGGCGATGAAGAGCATGCTGTTTCCAGGTGCGTTAGAGTGGACGGGATGGAAGATTCTTCTGGCCGTGCCCCACGCGAAGCGGTGTGTGCCAGTGAGCAGCCCGGGGTCAGGGGCGCATGTGGCCTCCCAGCTTAACACCCCGGCGGGCACAAGGGAGAAAAAAAACGAGGTATGGACGGCGCAGCTCGCTGCTGCAAGGCTTCCTCGTCATATGATCCATTCGAGTCACGGGTCGGGCGCGTCAAGGGAAGGCGGCCTCCGTGGAGGGTTCAACATCTCGGGCGCCCCGGGGGCTCTCTAGAGGAGCTGCCGGAACGGATAATGCTGTCGATCGTGACTGGCAGAAGGTAGCTCCTCAGGCGGCGTCCGGAGGGTCAAAGTCCGGCTACACGGGGGGCGGGACTTCTCCGCCAGACTTCACTGCCTGGCGGCAGAATATCCTTTTGATGAAGATGAGGTCTATCAATATTCCCAGCGAGTTCTTTACGGCCATCACCGACACTGGCACGCCGTAGTTCCACGAGGCCACAAAGCGCAAGACCAGGAAGGGCATCTCTATGAACACGAGCGAGAACGCCGCGTCGATGGGCTTCCTCAGGTCTTCTTCGGGTGCGTCGCAGCCCGCTCGCCTCAGGAGCTGGACGACGGGCTGCTTGCCAGTGATGGCGGCGGCCCGAAGAAGAACCACAGCAATGCCGAGCCATATGCAGATTGCCACTTGCCTGTGGAAAGACTGGCTGTAAGAGATGATGCTGACATCCGCACCACTCAGCAACGGTCGCCCCTCGTGCATCTGAACCACGTCCGCGAAGGACAGAATGTACATGTCATACACGTCCGTCATGTCCCTGAGGAACCAGAAACTGCTTTCAGCGCCCGGGATTGTGGAGGCCATGTGGTCTGCAACTAGCCCAGCAAGGGAGCTGAACAAGCGCACAGAGTAGTCAAACGCCTCATCCCACCGGTCTTCACTGGACATCCACGGCCTGCTGAAAGCTGAGCTGACATGCCCATCGACCATCAACGTTCCAATGAGCGTCTCGCAAAACGCCTGCTTTGGAAATGGCTCCTCCTGCAAACGCCCCAGGATGGCGAACTCCCCAGAGTCAGTCGCATAGCAATTTCTGCTAGTGACCAGCAAAGGTGGATCAAACGGATCACCATTCGAATGAGTTACCGTCCCAGTAGCCTCATGTACCTCCAATCCACCACCTGACGGCCAACTGTTTATTAAGGCATCGACATCGTAATTTGAAAGACGGGATTCCATGTGATCAGCCCATGGCCGACCGTAGTGAAACACTGGCTGTGCGATCTCACCATGGAAAAACAAAGCGTTCATGGGCAGCAGAAGTGCAAGCCATAACAAGTATGTTCGCGTAGTCAAGTCCATGCCCAGAAGATTGAAGGTGTACGTCCAACATCTAGGCTGAGGGAAACTGGAGCCACGGATTGCAGGCCTGTTTATGCTTTCACGATTTCGGTAGTAATACCAGAAACTGCGCCCGAGGTCCACAAACAGAAGGAACTGCAGTAGCATCCAGAAATAGTTACAGATCGCTACCGACACTGGCAAGGGCATGCCTCTCAGGCTGGCGCGGATCAGGACGGAGACCAAAACGACATCCATGAAGCAAGTGAACCCAAGGAGAACAAGCACGAAACAAGTGAAGGGCAGGAAAGGGACCTCGCCCACGGCTGGCATCGCATTGTGAAACGACACGCTGAGTTTCGTAGCGCTCCACTTCGGAGGAGGAATTCCCTCAGCAGAGCCATCCGCCACAGCAACTGGGTGATCAGAAGGCTCGGGCGCGCCCGAATCGTCTGCTCTGGCGGTCGCCGCGGGAGCGGACATCTGCGGTACGCACCAATCCTCCAGCAGAGCGCGCCTTGGCGAAAAACGCCTGTGCCCATATGGCTACACGCCCCGCCCCTAAGCTGGCAAATCCATAACCTAACCTGACCCAGCCCCTGTCGACACTCCGCCACAACTAACCTGACCCATTTAAGCTAACGTGACCAACGGCTCGGCGACACCAGTGCGTCACGCGCGCGCGCTGTAGCAAATAATGCACAGGAGGGAAAGAACACAGCAACATACAATGCAAAAGTGCCAAATCGATCATTAATCTTTCTTCGGCTCCAATGAAGAATCTGATCGGCGCTGAGCCGAGACCAACATTGCGCATTCGTGGATGTGGCTGCCGCTGAGGCGAGAACACCCGTCGCAATCATGGATCTGACTGGCACTGAGGCGAGAGCACCCGTCGTAGTCGTGGATGTGGCTGGCGCTGTGACGAGAAAACATTCGCAATCATGTACGCGGCCAACGCTGAAGCGGGTAGGAATGGCATTTCCACTCAAGGGCGCGGCCGGCGCCGAAGCGGCAGAGGCAACGGCAGCATTCGCTATCATCTTTTAGACTGGCGCCATGCGAGAACAGCAATCCGAATCGAGAGCGCGGCCCGCGCTGAGGCGAGAACAACAATCGCAATCATACGCGCGGCCAGCGACTAGGCGAAAGCGAAGTTTTCAATCAGATATGCGGCCAGCAGCACAGCGAGAACGGCATGCTCAATGAAGGATGTCGCCGGCGCCTAGACGACAGCATTGTTTATCATCAGAGATGTGGCCAGAGCCAAGGTGAGAGCAACATGCTCAAAGAAGGATGTCGTCTGCGCCTTGGCGACAGCAACATTTTCAATCAGACATGTGGCTGGCGCCATGGCGAGAACGACATGCTCAATGAAGGATGTCGCTGGCGCCAAGGCGAGAAAGGCATGCTCAGTGAAGGATGTCGCGGGCGCCAAGGCCACAGCGACATTTTCAAGCAGACATGTGGCCCACGCACAAGCGAGAATGACATGCTCAATGAAGGATGTGACTGGCGCCTCGGCGACAACAACTTTTCAATCACACATGTGGCCCACGCACAGGCGAGAACGACACGCTCAATGAAGGATGTCGCCGGCGCCTAGGCGACAGCAACATTTTCAATCAGACATGGGGCTCACGCACAGGCGAGAACGACACGCTCAATGAAGGATGTGGCTGGCACCAAGGCGAGAATGACATGCTCAATGAAGAATGTCGCGTGCGCCGAGGCCACAGCAACATTTTCAATCAGACACGTGACCTACGCGCGGGCGAGAAAGACACGCTCAATGAATGATGCGGCTGGCGCCTAGGCGACAGCAACATTTTCTATCAGAAATGTGGCCCCACGCGCAGGCGAAAACGACATTCTCAATGAAGGATGTCGCGGGCGCCTAGGCGACACCAACATTTTCGATCAGACGTGTGGCCCACGCACATGCGAGAACGACATGCTCAATGAAGGATGTGGCTGGCGCCTAAGCGACACCAACATTTTCAATCAGACATGTGGGCTCACGCCCAAGCGAAAACGACATTCTCAATGAAGGATGTCGCCGGGGCAGTCGTTCGGGTTTGCGAAGCCCTGCGAATTATGGGAAACGCAATTTCCTTTTGAAAAACCGCACTCGACGGGCTGGAATTGCGTTTCCCATCGTAAACACGCAGACCCGGACGACTGCCCCAAAGACACATTGCACGGGAAACGCGTTTTCTTCCCAGAATTCGAATTTCGAATTCTGGGAAACGCAATTTCCATTGAAAAACCGCACTCAATGGGCTGGCTGTGCGTTTCCCATGATTCGCATTCCGAATTTTGGGGAACGCGATTTCCCAGAATTCGAATTCCAAATTTACGGGAAACGCGAATTCTTAGAACAAACCGAACTCAATGGGCTGGAATTGCTTTTCCCATAATTCCGAATTGTGGAAAACGCGTTTTCCTTTGAAAAGCCGCACTCGATGAGAATTACGGACGTTGCGTTTCCCATAATTCGGAATTATGGGAAACGCAATTCCAGCCCATCGAATGCGGTTTTTCCAAAGAGATTGCGCTTCCCATAAATTCAAATTTCGAAGTATGCGAGGCAGTTGTGTTTTGCACACTTCGGAATTATGGGAGACGCAATTCCAGCCCATGGCGTGCGGCTTTTCTGATTTACGGTATGTCCGTTTCCCAGCTTGAGTATGACATGGCAGTGGTAAACAATAAACGTCACGGCATGCATATCCGAGAGCTACCCGATCAGCCCTCCTCGCCGCCGGGTCGAGCTCCCTCGAGTCTCGGCCTAGGCGGTCTCCGGGTTGCACCAGCGAGGCTGAAAAGGAAACGTCACTCGCCTCGCCACACGCCACCTCCATGAAAGCATGCCTGCGCCCATGAAATCAGTCGCCTTGACTTGGGCGATCTTCAACGAAAATCATGCCTGCATCTCCTCTTTGCCCTCGGGATTGCAAACCAGCTCAGGCTCCAGCAGGTTGCCTGCGACCGCGAGGGTGAGGCCAGACTTGCCCGTGGCCACGTAAAATCCAAGCAGCCCCAGCATCTCATCTAGCTCCTTCTGCGCCAGATGCTTGGTGCCGAGGTCTGCTACATTGACCTTGCCGAGCGCCTTGGAAAGGATGACTCGACGCTCGGTCACATGGCGCTGGAGCCACAAAATCTTCGTCTCGATGTGTCGGGTGCGCCCCGCCCCTCGGCGGTGAGCTATCCCGCTGGCCGCCGTGGCGTCGCCAGCCAAACGCAACTCCAGCTCGCATCCCATGTCGCGCGCCAGCGAGACCAGACCGATCCCACAGGACGCGGCGTGCACTAGAGCGGACCACTCGGCCCCACCTGAGCTGAGAGCCTCGCTGCCCTGAGTCGCGCTGAAGACCTTGATCATGTGGTCTCCCAGCTGGAAGACTCCGCAGCTCGTGCTCTTCCTGGTCTCCAGGCAGCCCGCGAAGTCGCTATTCGAGAGGCCCTTGGGCACACCTGACCAACGCTGGCGGCGGAACCTCTGGACCAGCCTAGGACGGCCCAGGAGATACCTGGCGATCCTCTTGACTAGCTCCATGCCGTGCTCGCACGGCTCGTGCATGTAATTCGCTGCGTCCTTCGCTGCGTACTTGATGTCTGGGCGCTTCTCGCTAAGGTAGCTGGCTCGCATGACCAGGCTGCGGTAGCGAGTCGCCTCCTCGCCCTCCAGGACCCTGCCGCGATCCGCGCTCTTGGGCTTCACACCTGGCGTCGAGAGAGCCTTCGACTCGCGCCAGAGGCCCAGCTGCTGCATCATGATGAGCGCGTGGCGAGAGTCCGCCTCGAGCTCCACGTCGCCTCTCGAGGTCCAACGGAAGATGCGGTTCAGACAGACCACCTCCTGAACATCACCAGCACTCTTGTTGGGTCCCAACATGCCCTCGAGCTTGACCCGCATGTACTTCTGCAACTCGCGGTAGAACTCCAGGTTGTCGGTGCGGGAGCCCTTCAGCACGAAGTTGTCGCCGTAGACGTAGGCTGCGAGCTTGCTGTCGCCTCTGCGGTATATGCAGGGGCATCAGACACCACAGGAGAAACCCATCTTGCCCTCCAGCGTCTCACGGACCAGCAGCTCGAAGTTCTGGCCTGCGTCGCGGCAGCCGTAGAGACACCTGACCAGCAGCCCGCGCGCGTTGGGGTCAGCTGAGCGGGGGTCCTCCGACGGCAGCTTCACCCACAGCTTCCGCTTCATCTCGCAGTGCGGGTGAGCCCTCGTCATGTCCAGGAACATGATGACGTGCTGGTCCTCCTCGACATTCCTGGCCGAGCAGCAGACAGAAATCAACATCCTGAGTGCCTCATGCGGGGGTGTCGCGCTAAACGTCTGCGAGGGGGCCCCCAATTCCATGCTCGTGCGGTAACGTGTCTCTGCCACGCACAGCCTGCAGCGGACGTTGGGCTTGCGGTCGCCACCCTTGTTGGCGTCCGCCCAGATCATGGGCGCCGGGTCGCGCCCGGTCTCCTCGCGGCAGTGCTGCTTGGTGTCGTACACGTAGGCGCCCAGGCCGCGCAGGAACTCCACCCAGCTTCCAGCGCACCGAGCTGGCCGCGGGCGATCGCCACGCAGCCCTCGCAGCACCGCAGCCACAAGCTTCGGCGGGTACCGCTCGATGGTGCGCATGCCGCGCCGACCCAGACCGACCGTCTGGCAATGCCGAACACATCCAGGACAACGGCGCGTCAGCTCCCGGGCAATCTCGGCAGAGTTGGTCAACCACCCCGTAGGCTTCTTGACCAGTGCTGGGCCGATGGCATCGTTGCACCACAATCCATGCGCACATTGATCACACTCGACGTAGTGTACTACTCCAGGCATCTCGGCGATCTCTCGGATCATCCAGAGACGCCAACTCCTCGATGATGCTGGCTGCTCGTGCAAGAAGAGGCGGCCAGCCTTGATCTGCTCCTTGTAGCGCTCGGCACAGAAGACCAGATGGACGATGCCTCGCTCCATGATGGCGTTGACGTCCACACCCTGGACCACGTTGAGGGCCTGCAGGTTCGACCACGGCGCGCGCGTCGGGCTGCCGGTGATCAGCAGCGGCTGCTCTAGCTCGATCGTAGCTTGCGCCCGCTGCCTGTCGCCCTCCTGGCTGAAGTCGTAGCCGGTCCTGATGTCGTAGGCTGTGCCGGGCTCGAGGTCGAAGGCGCTCGACCGAGACGTGAAACGCCCTGGTCCGTACGGCTCGCTGACGGCCACTCTCCAGTCGCCGAAAGCCGCCAGCAGCGCGCAGAGCTCCTGCGAGTCCGCGTCCATGGCACCCCCAGCTCCAGGCGGCTCCTGTAGAAGCCCGCTCGGCCCAGCAGCCTGCGCCTGCGGCATGGCTGGCGCCTGCGCCGGCGTCCCCAGCTGCTCACCGCTGATCGCGGGCGCGAGGGGTGCTGGGCCGCCTGGCGCCGCGAGGCGGCGCCTCGATGCCTGCGGCAGCTCCGCGGGCGAGCCCCGACGCGGAACAGCTCGTTGACCAGGTCGCTCGATCTCCATCGGCGCCTCGGCCGGGCTGGCAGCTTGAGGCGGCGCCCTGGCGCCCTCGCCCTCCTGGCGCACAGGCGCCCTGTCAGCGGCCTCCAACTGGCGGGCCGCTGCCCCGATGACGCAGGGCGCGAGCTCAGGGTCGTTCGCCGTGGCCAGCTGGATGCGCCCGCGGCGCTCCGAGCTGTGGGCCTTGGCTGCTGCGTTGGCGCGGGCCGCGTGGCAGCCCGGGCATCCATCTGTGAAGCCGTAATTGGCCAGCTCCACGTTCCTGCGAATGTAGACGTTCCGAGGCACAGCCGGGGCCTGCTCTGGCACAACCCTCGGCTGCTGCGCAGCGGGGTCGACAGGAGGTTCGTCGATGACCGTCGGGATGCGAATGTTCTCTGGCTTGTCTGGGGTCGGCATCCACGGCGCGCCCCTGGTCGAAAGCGGCAGGGCCGCATCGGCCCGCCGGCTCGGCGGCCTCCTCCTGATCGACCGCGCGCGTACGACCCTGCAGTCGTAGCCGACGAGCATCTCGCTCGACTTCTCGATGGCGCCCGGGAAGACTCCGATCTTCCAGCGCTCCTCGAACTTGGCGTCGCGCCTCGCACTCGGGAGGAACGCGATGATCTCACCGAAAGGCGGCAGCGCCTTGCGGAAAGCCCTGCCCTTGTGCCTCTCGTGCGGCGTCCGTCCATCGGCGCCGATCTTGCCGCGATTGATGCATCCTGCAGCGTGGGCCACCAGCCAGGTCAACACTGGATGGTCATTCGGGATGTCTGTGCCGTGCAGCAGGGACAAGGCGACTCTCAAACACCGTGCGACGCCCTTGACCTCACTCACTGCTACTTATGCCAGGCCGTTGCTGGCACTGTCGTAGGCCGACGCCTCCTCGGGCACGACCTCGATCTTCACGTTCCTGAGGCGGATCGTCGCCTCTCGCTTGAGCGCCACCAAGGCACCCTCACCATCAGACTTGCAGATGATCTTCGGGTGGCCGGTCGCCTCCACCTGGCTGACGGCGCGGACCACGTTGTGCTCATGCTGGATGCCCTTGGAGGGGAGGACGTCGGCGCTGACCGGCGAGGTGGCCGAGTCGATGCCGACGAGAATGGGAAGCGCGGACTGGCCCGACAAGGTATCCGTAGTCCACCGCGAACGCAGGTATAGCATGCGCTCTCCCAGGAGCGTCCGCTGGGTGACCATCAGCACGGCAGCGCCCAGCCAGGCAGCAGTAGCACCAGTCCCTGAAGGGTGCGTGACCTGCTGCTTCGCGTTGCTCGAGCTCTGCCTTAGTAGGCTCCTTCAGCCCACGTCGTGCTCGCGCCGGAGCAGGCTGAGACTCGTGGCGCTCCTCGGCGTCGCCCTCGAGCTCGATTGTACTTCCAACTCCGTCATCCCCTGCCGCGGCGTCTCCACCTGGCGGGGCAGGGTCGCCTGCGACCAGGCCAAAGTGGCTCTCGAAGGTCGCAACTTGTCCATCATCAACTCCGTGAGGTACCACTCCTGTCAAAGAAGCGACGCCATGCAGCGCAGGGGGCCCCGCTGCTGGCGCCATCATCGCCGGTCTCACGGCCGCGCCTGCCGCCCGAAAGCGCACAAACGCTTCTTGCCATGTAGCCTGTCGCAGCCACTGCAACCATCGACCGAGCAGAGCGGCAACTCCCTCACGAGTGTCTGGGACATCTGGGTGACCTCCTTCGCTGGCACGATGTTCACGTCCAGGTCCCACGTGCGATGCCTCCGCGTGAAGCGGACCGTCTTGCCGCTCTCGCTGTGGACGGCGTGGCTGAGGTCGTTGCCGTGCTGGTCCTGCTCGAAGACCACGCGATGGCCGCTCTTCACCAGGTCGAAGACCAAGAGCAGCGGTCGCATGACGCCCGTGACCCGGGACCTGATGCCACGCAACGCACCGCCAGTCTGCACCGTGAGCTTGCGCTGACCCTCGTCTCGGATTGGCTCACCAATCGCGCTGGGGTGCTGCGCTCCCGACGGCTCCTCCGTGATCGGGTAGTCGGTCCCCAGCGAGCGCGGGGTCGCCGTGGCCGCCGCGCCTGAGTCGATCCCGAAGCGCACCGTCTCGCTGCTCGAGGACACGGCCGACAGGGAGAGCGCCGAAAGGAAGAGGCCGCCCAGGCCCTCGGGCGGCCCCGGCTCGGCCATCTCGCCCAAGGCGCCAGCCTTCTTTGCGACCGGGCAGTCCTTGGCCAGATGCGCCGTCGGGCCGCAGGTCCAGCATGGCTTCGGCTTCGGCGCAGCGCCGGCCTTGCCATCGTCCTTGCCTTTGCCGCGACCTCGACCTCCACCGCCCTTCGGCGGTGCCTTGCCTGACGCAGCCGTCGAGATCCACCGGCAGTCGCGCTTCCAATGGCCCGTCTTGCCGCAGATCGGACACGGCTTGGTCGGCGTATCATCAGCGCCCTTGCCCTTGCCTGGCCCGCTGGTCTTGCCCTTGCCATTGCCGATCTTGCCATTCTTGCCGCCCTTGAAGCCGAGAGCTGCCAGCTGCTTCGCAAGTGGGTCGAGGTCCATCGGTGCTGCGCCTGTGCCCGCGCTCGCCGTCGTCGCGATCTGGGCCCGCCTGAGGTCCCCCACCTCCGCCTTCACCAGCTCCCACGCGTCGAGGCGCTGGCTGTTGAGCAGCAGGTGGTGCCGCAGCGGGCCCTCCTTGAGCGATCGGACCAGGGTGCCTATCTTGATCTCGTCGGGGAACTCGGTGCTGACAGCTTGCTCGTAGCGCTTCGCATTCGTGTCGAAAGAGATCAGCTTCGACGGGACATCACCTTCGAAATCCCACGAGAGCAACTCTTGTAGCAATCCTGCTGCCCGGGTCCGACTCTGAGGCCCATGAAACGCGATAAGTGTCCTCCAAGTCTCCAGCCCCTCATTCGCGCCAGCGCTGACTATGCGGTCGAGCGAGAGGCCTTTGTTCAACATGACTAACGCATGGTAGAGCTGGCTGCTGCGTCGCACGCGCTCCTCTGGCAGCGCGGCGTTCAGCGCCGGCTTATCCGAGTGTTCTGTGTTCTCCATGAGGTCCATCAGGGCTGGCTCGCACGCGCTGGCATAGGCGCGGGAGATCGTGCTCCAGCCGCGCCGCGTGCCAGGCTCACCGTTGAAGTCGCGCGGCTTCCCCAGGACCCTCGTGTCGATCAGTCGATTCACTGCTGGCAGATGGCCGCCAGGCTGCTCTGCTGGCTGCGGCAGCCCTGGCCCTCGGGCCGCCTGAGCCGTAGCCTCCGCGGCCTGCGCTCGAGCCTCGGCCGACTGGGCCTGGGCTGCCAGCTGCTGGATTATCTGCTGCTGCTGCTGCTGCTGCTGCGCCGCGAGAGCCTGCTCGATCTGGGCGGCGCGAGCCTCGTCCATCTGTGACCGCCCGGCCGCGCGCCTTGACTATCTTGAGAGCTTCGCCCTCGCAATGCCACCTGCGTCTGCGGCGAGCCAGCTTCAGCGCGCCCTGCGTGATGTGCGCCCAGGCTTTGCTGGGCGTCGTCGAGACCAGCTGCCGGCGGGTCTCGTCCGCGGCTGCTCCAGCCGCGCCGGCGCCCCCCTGGGGCGCCGCGGAGGAATGCACGGCGGTGTCGCAGGCGGGCCGACTCACAACCTCGCTCCGCGCTGCCATGATATACGGTATGTCCGCTTCTCAGCTTGAGTAAGATATGGCAATGGTAAACAATAGACGTCACGGCGTGCATATCCGAGAGCTACCCGATGATTTTCAAAGGAACTTGCGTTTCCCATAATTCGGGAATTTGAATTGTGGGAAACGGCGTTTCTGGAAATTCAGAATTCCAAAAATTGGAAACGCACTTCCAGCCCATTACATGCGTTTTTTTTTTTTTTTTTTTTTTTTTTTTTTTTTTTTTTTTTTTTTTTTTTTTTTTTTTTTTTTTTTTTTTTTTTTTTTTTTTTTTTTTTTTTCCAAAAAAGAAATTGCGTTTCCCACGCGTCGGAATCATGTGAGACGCAATTCCAGCCCACCGAATGCGGTTTTTCAGAGACGCTTGCGTTTCCCATAACTCGGAATTCGAATTATGGGAAGCCGCGTTCCCCGAAATTCTGATTTCGAATTATCGGAAACGCAATTCCAGCCCAGCGGGTGCGGTTTGTCAAAGGATTGCATGTCCTATACTTTGGAATTTGGGTTCTGGGAAATCGCGTTTCCCGAAATTCAGAAGCCCAACTATGGGAAACGCAATTCCAGCCCAGCGCTTGCGGTTTTTCCAAGGAAATTGCGTTTTGCATAATTCGGAGCTATGGGAAACGCAATTCCAACCCTTTGAGTGCGGTTTCTCAAAAGAACTTAATTTTCCCATACTTCTGAATTCGAAGTATGGACAACCGCGTTTCCCGATATTCAAACTTCGAGTTATGGGACACGCAATTCCAGCCCAGTGGGTGCGTTGCTTCACAAGAAATTGCGTGTCCCGTAAGTCTGAATTCGAATTATGTGAAACAGCGTCCCCCGAACTTCAGAATTCGACTTATGGGGAACGCACTTCCAACTCATCGAGAGCGGTCTTTCACAATAAATTTCGTTTACACATGATCCGGAGTTGTGGGAAACGCAATTCCAAATCATAGAGAACGTTTTTTCAAGGGAAATTGCGTTTCCCATCATTCGGAATCCAACTGATGGGAAACCGCGTTTCCCGAACTGCAGAGGCTCGAGTTATGGGAAACGCAATTCCAGCCCAGTGGGTGTGGTTTTTCAAGCGACATGGCGCTTCCCACACGTCGGAATTATGGGAAGCACACTTCCAGCACACCGTGTGCGGTTTGTTAAAGGAAATTCGGTTTCCCATACTTCGGAATTCGAATTATGGGAAACAGCGTTTCCCGAAATTCAGGATCCCAATTATGGGACACGCAATTCCAGCCCATGGGGTGCGCTTTATCCGAAGGCAATTGCGCTTCACATGCTTCGGCATTAATGGAAAACGCAGTGCCAACATACCGAGTGCTGTTTTTCCAAAGGAAATTGCGCTTCCCATACTTCGGAATTCGAATTATGGGAAGCCGCGTTCCCCCAAATTCAGAATTCCAATTACGGGGGGTGCAATTTCAGCTCATCCAATGCGGGTTTCAACAAATGCGTTTCCCATAATTCGGCATTGCGGGAAACACAATCCCAACCCATTGAGTGCGGTTTTTCAATGGAAATTGCGGTTCCCATAATTCGGGGTTCGGGTTATGAGAAATCGCGTTGCCCGCAATTCAGACTTCGAAATCTGGGAAATGCGATCCCTACCCATTGAATGCGTTCTTCAAGCCATTTTAGCCCATCGACTACGATTTTCCGAAATTGCGTTTCTCAAAATTCGGACTTCGAAATATGGGAAACTGCGTTTCCCCAAATTTAGAATTCGAAGTTTGGGAAACTGCGTTTCCCAAAATCTAGAATTTGAATGGTGGGAAACGCAATTCCAGCCTATTGAGTGAGTGAATGAGGTTTGTCAAGGGAAGTTGCGTTTCCTACGCCTCGGAACTGGGAGCTGTGGGCAAAACACTTCCAGCCCATTGAGTGTGGGTTTTCGAAAGAAATTGCGTTTGCCACACTTCGGAATTTCAACTATGGGACGCCGCATTTCCCGAAATTCAGACATCGAATTATGGGAAACGCAATTCCAGCCCATCGGGTGCGGTTTCCCAAAGGAAATTGCATGTTCCACAACTCAGAGTTATGGGAAACGCAAGTCCAGCACATTGAGTGCATTTTTAAAAAGGGAAGTTGCGTTTCCCAAAATTCGGAATTCGAATTATGGGAAACGGCGTTCCCCGAAATTTCAAATTCCAATTATGGGAAACGTGATTCCAGCTCATTGAATCTTGTTCGTTCCAAAGAAATTACGTTTCCCATGCTGTGGAATTCGGGGAAACGCAATCCCAGCCTATAAAGTGCGGCTGTTCAGCGAAAACTGTTTGACACATAATTCGGAATTTGAATTATGGGAAACCGCGTTCCCCGAAATTCTGATTGCGAATTATCGGAGACGCAATTCCAGCCCATCGGGTGCGGTTTTTCGGAATGCTACCCCTAATCGGAATCCGGAATGAAAGCGGAGAGAATTCGGAATGATACCGGAGAGAAGCTAATTGCGTTTCCCATAATTCGGAATGAAACCGGAGAAAAGCCCCAATCTGATTTTTGTTTAAAAAGCTATAGGGCTATGGGGCTATAGGGCTGCGGGGCTATAGGGCAATAGGGCTATGGGGCTATGGGGCTATAGGGCTATAGAGCTACAAGGCTACGAGGCTATAGGGCTATTGGGGCTATAGGGCTATGCGGGGTATAGGGCTATTAGGGCTATAGAGCTCCAGGGCTATAAGGCTATAGGGCTATTAGGGCTATTAGGGCTCCAGGGCTACAGGGCACCTCGGCACCCGGGCACGCCCGGGCACCCAGGCACCCGGGCACCCCCGGGCCCCCGGGCCCCCGGGCGTGCAGCGAAAATCGGCGGCAAACGTAACCTAACCAGGTGAATCCGCTAGGACCCCTACAGAGGCAAGCTCTGATTGGGGAATTATGGGAAACGCAATTCCAGATCAACGAGAGCGGTATTCAAAAGGAAATTGCGTTTCCCGAAATTCAAAATTTGAATTATGGGAAATCGCGTTTCCCGAGAGTCAGAATTCGATTTCTGGGATACGCAACTCCAGCCCATTGAGTGCAGTTTGTCAAGGGACGTTGCGCGCCCCATAATTCGGAATTCTGGAAAAACCCAGCCCGCTGAATGCCATTTTTCAGAAAAAGGAAATTGCGTTTCTCAGAATTCGGAATTCGAATTATGGGAAACCGCGTTTCCCGAAATTCAGAATTTCAATTCTGGGAAACGCAGAACCAGCCCATTGAGTGCGGTTTTTTCCAAGGAAGCTGCGCTTCCTATACTTCGGAATTACGGGAAACGCAGAACCAGCCCATTGAGTGCGGTGTATTAGCGGATATGGAGTTTCTCATAATTCGGAATTCGAGATATGGGAAACCGCGTGTCCCGTAATTCGGAATTCGAATTATGGGAAACGCAAAGCTCGCCCATCGAGTGCGGTTTTTCAAAGGCAATTGCGTTTCCCATAATTCGGAATTGTGGGGAACGCAAAGCCAGCCCAGTGAGTGCGGTTTTTCAAACGAAATTGCTTTTCCCAGAATTCGGAATTCTGGGAAACGCAGAACCAGCCCATTGAGTGCGGTTTTTCCCAGGAAATTGCGCTTCGCATCATTCGGAATTTGAATTATGGGAGAACGCATGTTTCGCGAAATCCCGAATTCGAATTATGGAAACGCAGAGCCAGCCCACGCAGTGCGGTTTTTCAGAGGAAATTGCGTTTCCCATCATTCGTAGCTCGAAGTATGGGAAACGCGTTTCCCGTGCAATGTGTCCTTGGGGCAGTCGTCCAGGGTTGCGCTTTCCATCAATCGTCCTTTTCGAATTGTGGAATGATGGGAAACGCAAGCCCGGACGGCAGCCTGTCGCCGGTGCCTAGGCGACAGCAGCATTTTCGATCAGACATGTGGCCCACGCACAGGCGAAAGCATCATCCCGAGACAAGCCTGTCACCAAAATGCAAGTGTCACGCCAATTCCGCGCGGGCCGGGCTCGGTGTCACCGAGGTTCAGGTGATGTCAGGTGGGTAGTCCACCTTAGGGGGGGGGTTGTACGTGGATCTCTGGCCTGTTGGTTCTCATGGCGCGGAGCGCGTGACGTCGACCACCAGGAGCGTCCGGCCAGGCCTCCAATGCGGCGAAGAAGGCGGTGGCACGACCTTCAAAGGCAGCCGGCACCTAACACGCCTGGCCAACAAAGCGCTCGGTAATCAATCCCCTCGCTCCTGCAACTGCGTGGCACTGTGGGAGGAGGGTGAGTGGGAGAAAGGGGATCGTCGGAATATCGGAATCGAATCGGACCGGGCTGGCCGAAAGCGACATACCGAAACGGATCGATCGGATCGAGATGGGCTTTGGGTTGGGGGAGAGCGGGGTCCAGCGCCGATCCAAGAGATCCGCGCGGGACTCCGAGAACTGATGTCGAGGCAACTTCTTCTCCGAGAGAGAAGCATTATGACGCTCAGAATGGGTACGGGAAAAGGGGGCGGTGCCCAACAACAAATATGGTTCAAAAACGACAGCGCCCGCTGCTGGGCAGGCGCCCGTCTGTCTCGAATGGACAACGTCCGCGGCGATACCGACAGCGAGTTCTATTCAAGATGATCAAGGGAAAAACTGCCGGTGTTCGTACCATTCTTTCCGTACGATCTCGATCGTATCGAAGGCAGGAGGCATAGAATGAGCGATTGGGCGTCGATGCTTCCCCCACTGGGGCCAGTCCCTCCCTGTCGCTGCCCCTGAGAGTCAGGGGAAGGAAAGGAGC